ATTTGGTATTAATGGTTTCCTAATAAAAATGGGTTTTTTATTAATGGTTTACTAATATAAACGGATTTATATTAATGGTTGATATTTAATGCCTTAATTTAAATGATTTTTAGTAATATGTTTTTAAAGTTGACTATTTTAAAACCTTGATAACCGAAAATTAAAGATTTAAAATTTAGGAGTTTATTCATACCTTCAAAAGGTAAATTCGAATCTTCCTTCTTTATTCTATCCCAAGTAAAATTACCTTTCTGCCCCTAAACCTTAAAATCATACTTAGCATTTAAAAAAAATACATCCAACAATATCAATAACCTTTAGTTATGATTTCAATTTAAGGTTAGAAATGTTGTAATTCAACAATCATATTAGGATATTAATTTACATTCAAACACTAAAAACATATCTCTTTATTCCTATTATACCCTTATCCTCCATTTTCCATTCGGTATTACCATATATTTATCTTAACAGATTATTTGAGTATATATCAAGATTTCAATCCCTTTAATCCAACCAACAATTTATGATATTATATACAATCAAAAACAGTAACCAAGTTGAGGTAATCAAACAAACAGAAATAACAGCAGCTCATGATTTGATCAATGTTTAAATTAAATTACTGATTTACCATTCTGATGAACATTGTACATACTAAATTAATGATTTACCCTTTGGATAAAAAATGGAAGTATCATGCTAAACGAATACACAAAAAAAAAACTGATTACAGTGAACAGAAAACGGGTGGGGTGCATTTGTCATTCCATCAAAGTACTTTGCTATATTGTGTTTTAACTAGTTCACATCAAAGTACATTATTATTTTTTCTGGACTAAAGGTATGTAATATATTTTCCTATTTATTTGAAAAGTTTCAGAAAAGTAATTAACCGATATCATGTAATTTATGACAAAGAAAATCGAAATATATAAATACATATATTTGATACATGAACAAAAAAATAATCGAAAAAAATATAAAAAAGCGAAAGAAGGTACTGACCTTCTAGTGCACAACAACGAAGGTTTGAAGCAGAGAATGATGATGAAAGTTATAAGCAATAAAAATGATGTTGTAGGAGAAGGTTTGAAGAAAAACAACGATTGAAAATAAGTGTGAGTCGCGGATTCAGAGATGAATCATATATGTATGTGATAATTTGAATCTGATTTTTTGGTATTAATGGTTTCCTAATAAAAATGGATTTTATATTAATGGTTTACTAATATAAACAGATTTATATTAATGGTTGATATTTAATGCCTTAATTGAAATGATTTATAGTAATATGTTTTTAAAGTTAAAACCTTGATAACTGAAAATTCAATATTTAAAATTTGGGAATCTTTTATTAGAATTAAATACAATCCATTTCAACGGATTTAAGTTAATTTTGTGGAAAACTCTTATTGGAATTAAATACATTCCATTTTAGGAGGATGATGTCAGCAATCTAAGGGTGGAAAACATATGATTGAAATACAATCAAGGGCCCAGATTGTTTAAGCTGATGTCATAAGATTTTTATTTTAATATATACTAAAGATAACATAATTATTAGTATGTTTATTTAATGACTTTTTTAAGAAATAAAAAACTAAACGGGTTTGAATTTTGAAGCGAAAAGCTATAAATAAGGGAGTTAAATTATGGACAATATTAATTAGGGTTAATGATGACAAAGATTATCAAAAGATGTCTTCAAGGAGATGCATGCTTCAGTTTTGTAGAGATTTGTGTGAAGCCAAAACAGAGGTGTGATAATTAAAGATGCAAGGAAGAGGCAATACGCAAATTCTAAGAATACATGAGCAAAAAGGAACCACCTTATGGTGCTACATTCTGTTATGAACACACAAAGCATCAATTGAAGCACAACCATTGACATGAGGACGAAGAGTATTAGAGAATTATGGTTTAGGAGAGAAAAATAGAGGAGAAATACGGGGCGGCTATTCATGTTTTTTGGCCAGATTTATGGAGAAACTGATATCTTATATATAAATAGAATGATATGCTTTAATCGATAACATAATTGCTGATTTTAAAGATTCTATAATTAAATGTAACTGTGCTCGAATTGTGAAATATATTTTAGAAAGTATAGAAAGATTCTATAATTAAAGATTTTATAATTAAATGTAATTGTGTTTGAAATTTAATTGCCAAATTTAAAGATTTTATAATTAAATGTTTGGATTATATTTAGGGAAGATGATGTCAGCAATTTGATTTAAGGGTGGAAATTACAGTATTGAAATACAATAAATGGTACTGATTGTTTCATTGATGAATTAAGGGTTATCTTTTAATAATATTTAGAGATTGTGGGTAGAGTCCAAAAACTTTCCAACTGGCATAGAAGGTCCAAAATCAAGAATTTTTCGTGATTTTGGTCCAAAAAACTTGAAAAGATTGTTATGCCCTTTTAATTTCTTTTTTTCTTCTATAATTGTTTTAATACTATTTTGATTTTTTTTAAAGAAAAAAAATGTCAATACCACTCCCACCCTTACTCTCTCTCTCTCTCTCTCTCTCTCTCTCTCTCTCTCTTTCCTCATCTATCATCTGCGAATCAGAAAAAAAAACATATTTTTTGCTACACACCAATCGCATTCATCTCAACAGTGTCAATAAGGTTAAACTTCTTCTGATGTATCTTTGATGATTGCAATACCCTTCTCATTCTCTGTTAAGCCCTTTCACCTGCAAACTCATCTCCTTTACTAACGAATCCATGTAACAACCCATAATTAACACGTAGAAATTGAAAACATTTAAACCTGGAAATCAAGAACACACACTCACAAAATTATACATACACACAGAAAATTAAACACATACACAAACACAGAGAAAATCAAAAAAATACACAAAAATCCTTCAATAGTTCTAGTTTTGATTCATAATTCAAATACTCCATAATTTTGAAAAATAGATTATGCAACCAACCAAACCCAGTTAAAATCAGATGAAGGAAAAACCAAGATGAACAAAGAACTCCCATTTTTCAGCACACCAATTGAAAGCACCATGCTTCTAACGAACATCACGAGATTCAGAAATTAAACCTAAATCGAATCGGCACAGGAGATTAACGATTCATCCGTGTGAGAAAAATTTGATTTGCAACTGAATCGGCACAGAGAAATCTCGATGACACAGATGAAGCTCGATGGTGGCGAAGATGAGGATATTGACACAGAAGGGAAGAGATGGAAACGGTGGCGTCGCTTAGGTTGACGGATTAAGAGTTTTATATGGTGGTCTGATGGAGGAAGAAGGCATTGTGAAACTTGATGAGATTTGAGCATAGCAAGCAATTTTATGTGTGCATACAACCCTAATATGTTGGATCTATGTTTTCTCTATTAGACATATAAGCATTGAACACAAAACTAGAAACCCTAGGAGGCATGTATTATTTTCGAAATTAACATTATACTAGGGTTAGGATACATACATTTATTGTTATGTAGTAATAACTATGGTTTCCTTAAAGATCTTGAACCTTGAGAGCAAGTGTCACAAGTGTACACCTCTAATGGCTCACAAACACACCAAGCAAGAGGATGAGAGGAGAGAGGAGGAAGATTCTTCAAAGTTTCGGCTCTTGTTAGGGTTTCAAAGGATGGTTGAAACTAAGAGGGGTGAGGCTTCTTTTATAGCTGAGGTTGCTTAGTCCCAAAGCTAGGGTTTGCTGGAGGAAACCCTAATTTCCCGCTTCATGCCTAAGCAGTCCATGGACTCCTCATCCTTAAGGCTTAGGACGAAAATTCTAGGGCCTCCCTAGAAGTTTTCGTTCATCTCTTCTAGGATGGTCCAAAAGCCCAAAACCATAATTATTAATTAATTGCTAAATAGCCCATGTACTTTTAACTAATTCCTTTAATCCCAAAATTAATTCCAAATTAATTTCTGATTAAATATTAATTAAATAACATAATTTCTAATTAATATATTATTTTCATAACATAATAACAAATCATTTTATATATTAATTTATTATTTCAAATAACAAATGCTTCCTCTTTCTCAATAGGTCGTCATGTCTAGTTGCTAGTGTGAAGGCAACCCATAAGGACTGTGCTACTATCAATTCAAGTACATACCAATTATAGCAATGGGCTTAGACACCTAATCCAACAAAACTCTTAAGCATCGGTTTAGGTTTCTTCAAGATGGGTTAGGTTAAGAAAAGAGAAAACGGCAGGGAACAGTAGGGTGTGGGTCTAATTATTTGTCTTTTATTTTTATTTAAATAAGTATTAAAATAAATATGAAAAAATATAAAAAAAAATTAGAAACTAAAAGGGTAAAACTGTCATTTCAAGTCCATCATGGGCCGAATTCACAGGAAATTCCTAATTTTGGAACCAAAGTTCATAATAAAACTCTTAATTTTGAACCTTTCATGTAAGTTGAAAACTTTTTGGACATAGCTTTTTACAAATCACAATGACTAAATTTGCAGCTTTGTCTATTAATTAATTATACTATTCATTAACTATAGGATTAAACATTTCATAATAAAAAATGGTCATTCAACTTTGAATTTAGGCATTTTTAGTTTATTAATATTTTTCTAATCTAATAATATTAATAAAAGTAAAACTGATAAATAATGTAATTAAAGAGAGACGGATGGAAGATTTACAACACGGTTCTAACACAAATACACGACCAATAGGTGCGCAGTACGCACTAACCATTGAAGAGTCAAACTCAGGTCCCTGCCACCGTGCCACGTAGACAATCATCCAAACGGGGCCCCCATTATTGGTAACAGAGTGGCCGACACATAGTCATCAATTAGTTGGTCATTGACCTCTATACCCTCCGTCGTGTAACCCCCACCACCACTCAACGGCCTCTTCTCCCAAGGGCAAAATCGTAAACGATTCATCTATTTATCCCCTTGCCTCTTGGTTGATGCCAAAAATATCCATTATCAGCTTTCTTCATTTTCCATCGTTCTTTTCTCACCGGCAAACATGAATTCATTTATGAGCACCATCAAAACCGCCGTCTCGGACTCTACGACCGACGGCAACGAGAAGAGTACTAACACAGAGCAACCATCGTCCACGGAGCTATTGTCAAGTGCCAAGCAGGTGGCGGAGGCAGCTAAGTTAGCTGCAAGCAACCAAACAGACAAAATTGACAAGGTTAAGACCGCCGGCGCCGCCGCGGACGTCCTTGATGCCGCCAAGGAGTACGGAAAGTTTGATGAGACCCAAGGAGTGGGGCAGTATCTAAAGAAGGCAGATGACTATCTTCACGAGTATGAGAAGTCCGGTGCTAGTGCTACAACACCACCACCCACCAAGGAGGGCGAAGCTGAGGCACCAGCCGCCGCGCCGCCGGTGGAGGAGAAGAAAAGTGAAAAGGAAGAATCTGGAAGTGGGTTTGGAGCCGCAGATGCCCTGAAGGCCGCCGGAAGTTTCTTCAAGTAGAACTGTTGCTTCTACTATGTAAATCAAGCAACGACTTTTATCTTTTTCGCTGTGTGACTTGTACCTCTTGTTTTGAATGTTGTACGTCGTTTCTGTATTAATAATTGATTACATGATGTGTTCTAATTATTAACTACTTCACTAAAGTAGTTTAGACAATATGGATAATTGGTTACAAATGGTTTTTGTTATAAACTGAATTCTTTCTTTTTAAACTAAATAATCAACGTCCGATTGTTGGCATAAGTAAAATGAATGTCTTCTTATAAATTTTTGGGTAAAAGTTTGTTTTTGATCAATGAAATTGCGTCATTTAAGAATGAAATAGTGAGAATGCTCTTATTCTGCGGTTGGTGTTATATATAGATGTTCTTGGTTGAGAGTATCGGGTTTTCGATATTATTTCTCTCTTTTTTTTTTTTACATATAAATTATTTACGTAACTTCACTATTACATTAGGACTATTATAGTATTATGGATGGTAATTTTGTCTTACACACTTGTAATGTTGGTATTATATAATGACCATTTATGTAATTTTGCTATCACAAAAATTATTTATGTAATATCTCTATTACACAACTTCTATTTCTATAGTTGTATATTTACTTAGGGCTGTTATAGTATTTTATCTTACATATGATCTATTTCTGTAATTTTACTACGCAAAATATCATTTCTGGCCATATATGTAATTTTTTCAAATATTACGATCATTAAATAATTTTATACGGACAATTTTTATAACTTTTTTCAAACATACGAACCATTAGATTAGACATAATTTTCACACTGAGACCAACAGACCATGTCTTTAATTTCTCAAAGATAGAGATCATTTGGTAATTTTTCAGGAACCGTTTCTATAGTTTTTATTAAAACTAGTAAAGAACCCGCGGCTATGCCGCTTTTGGGGTAATATGGAAAAAATCGGCAAACTTTAAAAGATATGTGCTGAAATTGTAAATCACCATAAATAGGGAAGAAAGTCGACAACTCCTAAAATTAGATGTCAAAAGTGTACAACGAAAAAAAGGGATACTGGTGGAGAAAATCCAAAATGTTGTGGCAATAATGTTAAAGTTGTTAATATTGGGAAAATATGTTGGCAAAATTTTAAAGGAGGTTTTTTTGTGTTTTTTATGTCAAAATGTAAAACTTTTGACTACAAGGACAAAAAGTGTCAAATTCATTAAAGATATGTGGCAAAAACACCAAAATGTAATACCTTTGAATATAAGGACTAAAAATGTCAAAGTCATTAAAGATTTGTGGCAAAAACCTTAAGGCACAAAAACTTAATCAAAAGGCAAAAATGTAAAATTTTTGACTTTAGGGACTAAAAATATAAATTTCAGCAAACTTATGTGGCAAAATCCTAAAGGCTAAAAGAATACTATTCCTAAGTTCCTTTGGATTTAATATATATATATATAATATGGACCATCAGAAAGTTTTCCAGAGACTATTTCTGTATTTTCTATAAAAAAAATAATGACTATTTCTGTAGTTTCTCAAATATGGCCCGGGACAGCAAAATAGGCTTTATAAATTTATAATTGATGAATATTGCTTAAATTAATGAATATTGAGAAAATATTATCAATATAAGAGTAAAATGGTTATTCATTTGTTATCCACCGTTTATCCACTCCATATCTATAAATTTAACATACTATATTCGATACATCGGTTTATTTACTCATACATTTATTTAGTCACTTTCACGTACAAGACTCAATAAGAAATTAAAAACATGTTTTAATTGACCAAAGCAATAAATAATACAGATCAAATATTTTGTTTTCCAGTTGAATTGATAACACCTACAAGAATATATCACTCAAAAGCAATCTGATATAATATACATGATCTTGATGGATATCAAACATTTAGCGACGATATCAAATATTGTATTGGATATCAAGAATTTGTGGTGGAGAAGCGTTCGCTAGAACCAACAACATAAGTATATTGGTTTTTGGATTTTTCCAGTTGATCGAATCATATTTGCATTCTCTTTAACTCTATCTTCTTCATTTCTTCGGTTCTCCTCTGTCTGTGATATTGCTCCTCTGGAGATATTTTCAATCGTCTGCATCTTTCTCATGAAATCTTGCAGTTCTCGAGCTCTTTTCCACTCTAGCTTACCCTGCAAGCTTCAATGGTGGGTCTTTTGAACACTAAAGTTGTGAAAGTAATTGTGTTATGTTTTTATCGAGAAAAAAAAGGTTAAAAACAAGACCTCTTTCTTTATCAATTTTTTCTTTGCTCTCAACTTCTTTTTATTCTCCCACTCGGATATTATCGCTTTCACTTTCGTAAACCTGATCAAATTGAAGAACAAATTCTCAAATTTACAGGATTTTGAGTTAATTTGGAAGTTGACTTCACAAGGAGTGGACTTGTTTCATTCATTACGTGGAACCCATGTAATGTGATATGCTACATTGATATTAATATGTTAAAGGGTTTATATTGTTTATAAGTAAACGTATAACTTTTGTCTATCGAAAGCAAATAAAAGAATAAGAAACTAAATTCAAACTCGACTTAAATTTTGATTTTGTATTCAATTTTATCGTCCAAAGTTACTTAAAACTTAACGATTTAGGTAAAGATGCTAACTATTTCAAACTTAACAAGTTATTTAAAAACGGACAAAAGAAAATGATCATTTGTTTCATTTCATATTTGATGTTTTTTATTTAAAAAAAAAAAGCCAAATTTCAAAAAATAATAATAATAATTAGTTTGTTTTTTGTTTGTTTGTTTTTTGTTTTGCAAAAAATCAAAAATCAAACTAGAAATTGTTTTTCAAGTTAAAGATAGGTTTTTTTAAGTAAAAAATTCAAATAATTAAATTGAAAAGAAAATTTTCTTCAAGTGGTTAAACTGAAAAAAAATTCTAAATTATAATGTTTTTTATAAAATTCAAAATTTTATATAGTCATTTTCTTAATAAATAAATAAATAAAAAGAAACTCACAGTTAAAACATTAAAAAAAAACGCTAAACCGAAAAAATCATAATGCAACATTTGAAATTGTATTTTTATTCTAGCATTCTGTAAAAAAAATGATTGGTTACCAAATTAAAGTTATTTCTTCAAGACTTTGATAGCAAGACATACCGTTCTTTGATCTTTTGCAATTCAGTTTTCTCCCAAATATCTCCAAGTCTCTTCTCAAGATCTAATTGACTAGTTTCTTCGTCCAATTGTTTTTCTACAACAAAATTAGGAGTTTTGTCGATTGACATGGTTGAACCAATATCTTTTTTTGACACATTGTTGTCGGATTTCATCTTAACCATGGTTGGTGCCTGATGATTATTAGCTTCACCATGGAGATCTTGATTAGTTTGCGATCTTGGTGACACCTCTTGGATATCTTGATTTCGGGTCCAAATAAATTATAGTTAGTTTAACAAGTTTTCACAAATATAATTGATTTTTTTAAACAATATCTTTTTTATTTTTTAATTATTACATAAAAAAAAGGTGTCACAAAATATGTGGCTTAATATAGACACAAAATACGAATGAGCTAACATGATTTTCCAGACTAGAACGGTCTTGGACCGATAATCCAGGTCATGAAAATAGATTGTACTATGTTTTTTAATTTTATTTCTTAGTTTTTTTGTTTAATAATATTAATATGATATGTAAGGGAAAAAAATATTAGATCAGATTGACCAGTCCATTGGTCATTTATGAGTTCGACATGTTTTTTAATTTTTTATAAGGTTTAACTATAATGTTAATCCAATCAACATAAAGCAAACAAAATATTTTACCGGAGGTTTTTCTAGAACTTGAACCCGGGCCTTGTTTCATGTCATCTTCTTTGGTTTCGATAGAATTAACTGCGAATGCAGCAGCTGCAACAGCAGTCCGAAACTCCTCACCCTCCATTTTATCATAGTCACGACTTGTTTCGCGAGAAGGTTGTCTTTGGTGCCAATTTTGGCCTTTTCGACGGTCTAGAAATTTACAAAATGTGTCGATTCGTAACAAATATAAATAAATGTTATCAACATCTAACTTGATAGTATTTTAGTAATAAGTTTAAAACATTTATAGATAAAAAAAACGAGTTATTCGAAAGTTTGTTTTGGGCTACTTTACCTTCTTTGGAACTACGGGTTCTTCGAGATGAAATCTTTCGATCTCTAATCACGCGTGAAGTTTGTGCTTCGTTTTCCTTCTCAACACGAAAAATTATCGTGCTACCGGCAATCGTAATAGTTAGGTTCCAAACAATTTATTATTCTTATAAAAATTATTAAATGCAAAAATATTATATTTTGTAAGAACGAACTATTTGGTGAACTATAGAAACTAAATGCAAAAAGCATCCATACTTCACATTTTTGTCCAAAAATGATCAAATATAATGTTCTTTTTTATTGTAGAAAGAACATTGGTTTATTTATAGCAAAAACTAAATATGATGGTTCAAAAGGTTAATATTTACCTGATCTGCTTGAGCAAACCCTCCATGAATAAACACTTTGGAGGTTTGAGATTTGCTCAAATTGTACGGTATTATAAGTTGCTTTGCATTTGGTTCTTGATGTATCATGAAAGTATTCTTTTCTTTTGCTTGATGCTGTAGGGGTTCTTTCTTTGACAAGATGGCATGGATGGAACTGATTGATCTAAGTGATTTTCCATGGGGCTCACCTATTTGTCCTCACCAGTCAAAACATTCCACGTCATCCAAAGTGTTTTCCTAACAAATTTATTGCTTCTTGTTTGTTTACCATTTTCCTTGTGTGCATAGGCAAGAAGTTAAGCAAGAATCGGTAGGAGACTATTTGTCATTTGCATCAAACTTTTTCTTTTTCCAAAAATTTGTCTATTAATTTCTTAATTCAAATGAACCTTCTTATACAATTCTCCATCCATTTTCTTTTGTTTTCAAAAAGAATATTTCCCCATTTTTAGTTAGATACGACAATTATGACAATTTTGATTTATTCATAAAATGTT